CCCCTTAGATGACCCACCTACAGAATCATAGACAGATTTCAGATGTTATAGGCTAACAATGGAAACAAACGACCCACTCGTCGGCTTCAATTTGCATGTTTCCAAGCATTATTATACAAGGCTATGTCTATGTAAAGCTTTAAACTCTCTGCGGATCCAGACATTTGAATTGAGAAAGCTTCCTGGAGGGGAAGCGAAACGTCTTCAAACCTTGGAAACAAAGTCCAGTGGACTGTTTTTAAACTTTTACAGAATCAGAAGTTATCTTTAAGTTAAAAAGATCTAAACATTAGCTCAGAAGCGGTTGGTAGACCAATTACAAACTTGAGTAACGTTTTGTTGTTTTCAAAGTAGAATTCATCATATGACTTTTCGAAAAAATAAAAACGCTTTAGGCCCCGTCCACACGAAGTCAAAACGAACACGAAACGCTAATATTTTCCAGAATGTTTGTCTTAAAGACGGAGACGTAAAATAAATGTGATCGTCCACACGAATGCATGAAAACACTGCAAAATGTATGCCAGGCCTGTAAGTGGCGCTGTGGTGCCAAAGCAAAAATAGGCGACAAAATGTTGGGCATGCGCACTAATATTTATACATGGTTGCCCTGCGGGTCCATTTTGGTGGTTCAGTCAAATTCAGGTGCTGAACTATGTGGTCGATATTGCTCTGTTCTTCCTGGAGATATTCCAGAAGAAGAAGATTCTGTTGTAAGCCCGACAGCAGGGTGAGTAGCATGAGCAGCAACCATTCAACACAGTACGGCGCCATTGTTGTTGTGATACTGTGTCGCGCATGCGTGTTTAGAGGCGACGCTATGACGCATGCGTGTAAAAAAAAAAAAGTTAGAGCTTAAAGATGGAAACGCGAAAACGGCGTTTCAAAATCTTCCCACTCTGAAGGCTGAATAAAAAAAAGATCGTTTACAGACCCCCGAAACGCCGGCTTCGTATGGATGAGAGGCTGGTTTGGTGAAAAATTAGTGCGTTTCGGCCAGCGTTTGGCTTCGTGTGGACGGGGCCTTAAACCACATAAAGCTGTTTGGAAGGAACACGCATAGCTAATTTATTTATTGTTTGATAAATTGTTGCACTTTGTGAAATTTGGGGACTGGAGTCATCTGAGACGGCAATTGTGTGCAAAAAAATTATCAAATTGAAGCTGTGACTGTGTGCTTAGATGATGGTCCATGTACAAAGACTACTTCAGAAAATTTATGGATTTTCTTGAAAAAAAAAAGCTAAAAACAAAAAAGAAATTCCTTTTTTGTCCTGTTTTTTCATTTACAAATCAAAAATGGTAAAACAGAAAACAGCCAATTTGTCTGTCTTGTCTCAAGCATTGAGAAACTATCATGATCTTAGCGCTGAAGACTGGCTTAGTTGCTCATTTCATCCATCTAGCTCTGCCCTGTTTCCCATCACTGCTCATCTGATGCCCCTGCTCCTGCTTCTATTTAAGCTGCTTGCTCCCAGTCAATAGTTCCAGAATATTGGTGAGCCTTTGGTGTTGAGAATTCTCTAGCTATAGTCTCTGATTGTATGTCCACTCAGAGTTGAGTATTTGCATAACAAGTATGAAAAGCCATTAGTGGAGCACCCATTCAACAAGTCACCATGAAAACAGGAAGTGCCAATTTCAGACCACTGGAACCAAATATCTTAATGCAGGAATGATAACAACAAAAAACTAATTGCAGAAAGTATTTAAAACAACAACAATGTTTTGGTTGCAAAGGAAAGGGAGATGGTGTAGGAGAAGATTGCTGCTCGAATGAATGCGTAAGTTTATATGAAGTCTTTTAAGGCAGGCCGTTGTAACACGTGCTAAGATCTCTCTTCTCTCATTTGTTCCATTTGTAGATCACTAAAATAGGATTGTTCCAGGCAAGGGCGTAGGTTTGATTTGAACTTTGGTAGGGACACTATTGGTCTGGTGTCATTGGTGCTATGCAATATGTCCTTTTTTATGCTGGATGTGAGCATCCGTACTGATAAGAGGAATTCATTGTTCAAAGAGAAAAGCAACATTTTGCTCCATTAATAAAAATGTTATAAGCTCTACACTCATTAGATGCTGTTTATCAATGTTTAAAGTATCAGCGGCTCTGATGAATGTGGAATTAGGACTGTTTTCCACTTTGAAAACGGTTTCATTTGAACGACTAGGAGAGAAGGTAAATACAGTATTTTCTTTTGAAGATATAGAATTGTGCAGAGTTAAACCCCACTCTAATATTTGTGCCTACTATTCTCTCTCTGTATCAAGCAAAATAATACATTCATTAAAATATTAACTTCACTATAAAAGTTGAACATCTGGGCTGTAGTTACTCTGTGTCGCCAATTTCAGGTATTTCATCTGGGACTGAAAAAAATGAATCATATTAATTATTTCAATAATCGTCAACTAATTTAGTATGTGTTTCATCATTAACTGGAGTATAGAGACTATAAAACATACAGTAATATAAATGTAAAATATTTATATTTCATGCATCATTATTACTGGATATCTGTGTTTCCTATAATCATATAATGTATAAGTGCATTTTTAATAGTAAAGGATTAAATGAAACACAACTTTTTATCATCGTCCTATATTTCTACTGTCTGACTGTTTAAATAGCTCCTTATATCTATTTTCTTTTTAGTGGTATCATCTATAAAGCAAAACACTGAGAATGAGCCTAAGTTTATTCAAATATAAAATCACTTTTAACAATTATAAAAACAATGTAACACTATCTTATCTGCAATTTAATAATATCCAAAAATAAACAGTCAGATTCAAGCATTTTTACCAGACATTAATGTTTATAGTAATTTACTTATGGACTGTGTGGAAATCTGTGTAAGATAAAATCAATGTTAATATTCTTCCTCTGTTTGTTCTTGTCGTTTTCCTATTTCTAGAAGTAGAAATAGTCAATTAAATTACTATCATTATGTGGAACCCTAATTATGCTTTTTAAACAAAAACAAAGTAGATGTATAGGCCCCATTTCTTGTTGTTATACTCTATAAGAGAAATAACACCTGCTAATAATTATACCTGAACTTCCTCCAACAGTCGTCAAAAAATGAAAACAGTAACAGCAACTAAATATGGGTAAAAAGGAAACCCTCACATTTTCTTTTTTAGTTGGCTGTGGCTAAGAATCAGAAATGTTGATGCTTACAGCCTTTATTTGCCCATTTTTCCAGCAGTCTTCAGAACTCCTGGCTGACTCACAATATTTCGTTTTATAAAAGAAAAAAAAAGGTTTTTGTTTTTTAGTGTACATGATATTAATTTTTTTAATTGGGACTAGTTTTGTAGCCTAATATTAATTGTAGTAACAACGGCATTCTAGTGTGAATAAATGTTCAATGTTGAGCTCCAAGCATCCGCGGACTAGAAAACAGCCAATCAGAGAGAGAGAAGGTGGAACTTAAGGCAGAACAACCAATGAGAGTGGAGTTAAACAGCGCAGCACAGCTCCATGCGCTGCTACATGAAAGGGACAGGAGAGAGCAGGCAGAGGAGCTGCCAGAGGAAAAGAAGCCACTGCTGCAACAACTACTGCTATAAATTATAAACATGTTGCTCACATCCAATTATTGGTCGGGACAATTAGGTCGGTTCAAAATTTTGGTAGGGACATGTCCCTATGGTCCCTATGCAAACCTACGCCCATGGTTCTGTTGGGAGCTGGAGAAATACACCTTTTCTCCAGCAGAGTCCGCCCTGGATCCTCCCTGCTGAGCTGCTCTGCACACCTGCAGCTGATGATCTCATCTGGAGGACCTGGACTACTTAAGCTGCCTTCAGACCTTGCCTCGACGCCGCAGTGTCTTAATCAGTTGGTTAGCACTTAAGCCATAGATCCCTAGTGAACCAAGTCTCCTTTGAGTCCAACCTGGATTCTAACCCTTTTGTCTCTGCTTCCAGGTTTCCTGTTCTTTCTCCTGTGAAGCTCTGGAAGAGCTTAACCTGCCGAGCCTGCCCTCCGAGCCAAACCTGAAGACTCACTCTCCGGATTTCCTAGCAGCTCTGGATACCGAGCTGGAAACACAAGCCAAGGTCAAAACAGCCTTTAGAAGTAAGACGCTGAAACAGCTTAAGGACTCTGCCAACCCAAGCTTTCTCCGGACCCAACAGTTCCGCTCCCAAAGCCTCATCTACATTCATCAAGGTACAAACCTGAACACAATCAGTCAAGTCTCAACCAAGCCTTCGCTAACCAAACTGTCTTTCTCACAGACGCCAGTGAACCGGTCCCAGCCCAGAACCATTGCATCAGTCTTTATTATATGTGTGAACTTGCCAATAAACTCTGTTAAACTTTCCATCCGTGTCGTCAGTGTTCTGCATATTGGGCTTCCCTGATACCCATCATGACAGGTTCCAGGTCAAAAGTCCCAATCCTTGTAAAACCTATAACAGAAGCTTTACTATTTTTTTGTTTTGTTACAGTTTTGCATCAGAGTTTTTGTTTATGAGAAAATTTTTTTTTGTAATGTTCATTTTGACAAGAAAAAAAAAGTCGGGTATAAAAATACCTATTCAGACAAACCAATATCTATCAAAACGGCTTACCATAGCCTGACTTAATCATGATAACATTACGGGTAGAACTAGTTTAGTGGTTAGGCGGAATCTCACGGAACACAGCTGTCAGCGTCTGCTGATGTCATATAAAAAAGTTGTTCAAACAGGCAGGAACCTGTCTATCAACTCACGGGGTTCCTCCTCATTTTATTTCTCTCTTATATTACACAGTAAATACTGAGCGGCTGTCTGACTGTGCAGTTGTTTTTTATAATGCTGTTATCACACATCAATGTTCTGTCTGTGTAATGCTGTCAATGTGAGGACAGATAAGGTCTGGATGTCTGAATAAGGAAAGACAAAAAAATCTTTTTTTTCCCCTTCTTTTGTTTTGGAAATGAAAAATGGATAACAGGATTGTTTTTTTTTTTTGTTTCTAAACAAAACAACAAAAAGTTACTCGTTCTTATTTTTCTATTCTTTTATCTTATCTGGAAATAAATAAACAGTTTGATTTCTGATTTTGGATTTCCCATTTTAAAAAAAAAATTGGAATGGTCAGCTTTTACAATGACCAATCGAAGCGACTCTGCTGCTAAAGTCGCTTTGACTCTAGCAGTAAAGTCGCTAAATGTTTTTAAGCAGTCATGCTTCTTACAGACAGTAATAGGGACCGGACCACAGCAGAGATATTTGCTTTGGACATCAGGATCTTACATTATAGAAACAAGTCAATTGTTCATGAATTTTTATCTAATCAGTTGCAAAAACAAGGTCAAATGGGGAGATATTCCTTCAGCTGCTTGTTTCTTAGAAGCTTCTTGACATATTGAGGTCATGGACCCAAAAAAAAGGGAAAAATGTGTCATGAACTCAACAAAAGACTCGAGTTTTTGCCATTTTGACAGTCTGGTAGTAGAAACCAGATGTTTCTAGTTATCATTATCGTCTTCATCACTGTCTCTCATTGTAATGCCTTGCATCCCTCCTTCCCTCACCGAAGCCGTAGCTTCTTCTAAGGTCAGCCGATTTCTTACGGTCTCATACATCTTAGAGTTTAACGTCGAGTCCAGCACTCCTTGAAGACGGAAATCACGGTACTTTTTCTGGCAGAGAAAAACACAGAAAGCTCTTTTAAAACATTTCCCTGTTGAATAAATAGGGCTTCTTGTTCTGTAAAATGTTCTTTTTTTAAAACAAAAATATTACTCTTGGTTAATGCAGACAGGCTTCTGCACTGTCATTCAGAGAGTGGACTTGTGTGGGATGAAACTTGGGAAGTTTCCATGAGCAGTTATACAGGCCCAGAATCGTAGAAGAGCTAAAAATCTTGTTTTGATATACACTATATTGCCAAAAGTATTTGCTCACCCATCCAAATTATTGGAATCAGGTGTTCCAATCACTTCCATGGCCACAGGTGTATAAATTCAAGCACCTAGGCATGCAGACTGTTTTTACAAACATTTGTGAAAGAATGGGTCGCTCTCAGGAGCTCAGTGAATTCCAGCGTGGAACTGTGATAGGATGCCACCTGTGCAACAAATCCAGTCGTGAAATTTCCTCGCTCCTAAATATTCCACAGTCAACTGTCAGCTGTATTATAAGAAAATGGAAGTGTTTGGGAACGACAGCAACTCAGCCACGAAGTGGTAGGCCACGTAAACTGACGGAGCGGGGTCAGCGGATGCTGACGCGCATAGTGCGAAGAGGTCGCCAACTTTCTGCAGAGTCAATCACTACAGACCTCCAAACTTCATGTGGCCTTCAGATTAGCTCAAGAACAGTGCGCAGAGAGCTTCATGGAATGGGTTTCCATGGTCGAGCAGCTGCATCCAAGCCATACATCACCAAGTGCAATGCAAAGCGTCGGATGCGGTGGTGTAAAGCACGCCGCCACTGGACTCTAGAGCAGTGGAGACGCGTTCTCTGGAGTGACGAATCGCGCTTCTCCATCTGGCAATCTGATGGACGGGTCTGGGTTTGGCGGTTGCCAGGAGAACGGTACTTGTCTGACTGCATTGTGCCAAGTGTAAAGTTTGGTGGAGGGGGGATTATGGTGTGAGGTTGTTTTTCAGGAGCTGGGCTTGGCCCCTTAGTTCCAGTGAAAGGAACTCTGAATGCTTCAGCATCCCAAGACATTTTGGACAATTCCATGCTCCCAACTTTGTGGGAACAGTTTGGAGCTGGCCCCTTCCTCTTCCAACATGACTGTGCACCAGTGCACAAAGCAAGGTCCATAAAGACATGGATGACAGAGTCTGGTGTGGATGAACTTGACTGGCCTGCACAGAGTCCTGACCTCAACCCGATAGAACACCTTTGGGATGAATTAGAGCGGAGACTGAGAGCCAGGCCTTCTCGTCCAACATCAGTGTGCGACCTCACAAATGCGCTTCTGGAAGAATGGTCAAAAATTCCCATAAACACACTCCTAAACCTTTTGGACAGCCTTCCCAGAAGAGTTGAAGCTGTTCTAGCTGCAAAGGGTGGACCGACGTCATATTGAACCCTATGGATTAGGAACGGGATGTCACTTAAGCTCATATGTGAGTCAAGGCAGGTGAGCAAATACTTTTGGCAATATAGTGTAATTAGCTTAACTTTTTCAACATTTACACATCTTTACTTACTAAACAAAAATGGTCAAATTATCTTTAATATCATTGTTAAAAAAAGTTTCTTGATATACTTACCTTTTTATTTTATACATTAGTAATCTGTTTTATGCATAGGTAAGCTTATAGTGGGTTGTTTTTAAAATGTGTGGTGCATCATTCTCACTTTGACAATCCTGATGAGTATCTTCAGTTGATAAACATGAAGCTGCAGGTCCATGCGGTCAGTCAGCCAAGTTCCAATAAGGTTCATGCTGCTGGTGTACCATTGCTGTGGCAAAAGGAAAAAAAAAGGCATGGATTAACATTCACACGATGCACAAATACAGAAAACAGAAGTTGTCAACAACAAAAATTGCATCTATCTGTTTTTCTATGGTGGTGGGGGAAAAAATCTTTAAAAAATCAGCAGCACAACTTGCCAGCAAACAGCCTTATTTACATTTCATTAATTCAGCCTGTCAAAGGCAAGATACCTCTGATGATCCCCAAACCGGGGTCTGGAGAAATATCCAAGTTTGTTAACTGGCAGAATCCAAACAGCAGTCCAAAGTCATGACAGGCTAAATGGACAAGAACAGGGCAAGCAAAACTCAGGACTCCAGAGGCAGAAACTAGTGAGGATGAGGCAATCATTAAAACAACTGATGCTAGAGAGTTCTCTAGTATGCTTCCCACGGCTCGTGGATAGCACTAATGGCTGGAAACAAGCAGCTTAAATAGGAACTGGAACAGGTGGATCGGATGAGAGGAAATGAAAACTGGGCGGAGCTAAGCAGATGGAAGAAATGAACCAATAATCCAGTCATCAGTGCCAGGATCATGACAGTCTACATAAAAACATTGTTCAAAGGAGATAAGTGTTATTTTATTTACATACAGGTCTCCTGTTTTTGTTATGAAGGTTTCCAGATAAAATGTTTGTAAGATGTTTATAGATTGTCTATGGCGCACACATTACCCTAACCAGAGATGGGAAGTAACGAAGTACAAATACTTTGTTACTGTACTCAAGTAGATTTTTCTGATATTTTTACTTTACTTTACTACTTATTTTTATGGCGACTTTTTACTTCTACTCCTTACATTTTTACACAAATATCTGTACTTTCTACTCCTTACATTTTAAAAAATTGTCTCGTTACTTTAGTTTTGAATCATTTCAATGGAGTTACCGTTATTATTTTTCACGTCATCAATACCAAATTCAATCTAATTGGATGGGAATCTACGTTGCATTTGACGCACCACTACAAGATGAATCGACAGATTCGGCGGTATTCATTGGCGGCAAATCATTGCAGCTTGGTGGCGGTGGCGTTAGCATAGTAGCATGGACGACGAGATGATTGAAAATAATCTGTACTTTTACTCAAGTACGGAAAATGAGTACTTTTGCCATCTCTGACCCTAACTCAACTGCTGATGGAATGGTCATACTGACGCCATAAAGCTGTAAGTGCCTGTTAGACTCTATTCAACACTAGAGTGACTACAGCACATTGATCCACCTGTTATTTTGGTTATGAATGTATGATAATTTCCTTCAAAATATTAATGATGGTGGTAATTTTATGTGTCTAGTACGGTAATCCTACATTCCTCACCTGGCAACACTGCTCTGTCGTCTAATAAAGAGGATGTGAAATCATCTGGGGAACTCCAAAGTGCCTTGAGAGGACGTGTTGTGAAATGACGCTATATAATAAACTAAAAAAACTGAATCTAGAGGAGTTCCTAGAACAGAGTCATCCATCTGTTTCAGCTTGTCAAGCCTATTTATGTCATTTGCTCTGATGCTGTTATACCATCCCCTTCAGGTTGGAGGAGAGTCCCTGCCTCAAGTGGAAGCGAAAAGGCAAAGCTCTCAATTTAACGTTCGGTCTACGTTCCTACCCTCACCTATGGTCATGAAATCTGGATCATGACCGAAAGAACGAGATCCCGGATCCAAGCGGCTGAAATGAGCTTCCTCCGCAGGGTGGCTGGGCTCTCCCTTAAAGATAGGGTGAAGAGCTCGGTCATTCGGGAGAGGCTCCGTGTAGAGCCGGTTCTCCTCCACATCCAGAGGAGTCAGTTGAGGTGGCTCGGACATCTTCCTCGGATGTCCCCTGGACGCCTCCCTCGGGAGGTGTTCCAGGCACGTCCCACTGGGAGGAGGCCCAGGGGACGGCCCAGGACACGCTGGAGAGACTACGTCTCTCGGCTGGCCTGGGAGCGCCTAGGGCTTCCCCCAGCAGAGCTGGAGGAGGTGTCTGCGGAGAGGGAAGTCTGGGAGTCTCTGCTTAGTCTGCTGCCCCCGCGACCCAGTTCCGGATAAAGCGGGAAACGACGAGTATGAGTACGCTGTTATACCAGTAGATGATAGCCAAAGGTATAAAACTCTAACATACTAGTAGATCTACTGCAAACTATGGAGGATCTAAGCTTCCTTAGGACATAAGGTCTGCTCTGTCCCTTCATGTATACGATTTAACGGTTGGATCCTTTGTAGAGGCTGTTGTTCAGGTGAACAATGAGGTGTTTACACTCCTCCATCACCAACGCTTATTTGACTTCATGACATCTACAATAATCTCCCTCGTTTTGTTAACATTCAGGATATGATTGTTTCCCTATCATCCCACAAAGTGCTTCTCTGTTCTGCTTCATGTCCATGTTTGATGCACCCAAGGACTGAAGAGTCATCCCAGTATTTCTGCCGATGACAGATCTCTGTCTGTCATGAAAGTCAGAATGAAACGACTATTATCCCCTCCTGTGTTACTGATTCCTTGATCAGACAGCTGAGCCTTCAGTCTGACAAACTGTAGTCTGTTTGTCAGGTAGTCTTTGATCCAAGCAAATGTAGATTCCTTCAGCTTAGTCTTCTGGAGTTTCTCACAAAGTCAGTCAGGTTGAATTGTGTTAAATGTTCTGGGAATCAAACATGATCCTCACATTGCTGTCTGCATTGTCTAAATGACAGTGGGTTTGTTGAAGCAGGTGGATGATGGCATCTCTGTCATGTTTGGTTTCAGGTTCCTAACCCACATGCAGAACACTATGAGACTGGGAAAAAGTTCAAAGGTTTATTTAAGTAAAACACAATCAATAAACAGATCCAGGGTTATCAGATCCAGGACTGGTCACGAGTGGGTTCACTGAAGAGGGGGACAGAGGTGTTAGTGGATGTCCAGGTAATTTGCAGGTTGAAGGTATGCAGGTCTGTACCTGTTCTGGAGTTTGAGCAGAGCAGCAGAGGGGGGGAAACCAGGAGGGTGCAGAGGCTGTCGGCAGGCTGAGGGCTTGGAGGAGGCAGAGCTTGGTTTGAGTGCTTGCAGATCACAGATTTGAGTTTCCCTTTCAGATTCTTCAGAGAGCGGGCAGGCAGGTCTTTGACTGGTTTGATTCTCCAGGGTTCTTCAGAGATCAGACAGACAGATTTCCAACAGAGAAACTCTTCAGGGTTTCAGACAGGTTCAACCATAACTGGCAAACACTCTGGCCCTGGGGTGATGTCCTCTGCCTCCTTATATACTGGTCTCCTGATGAGCAAACGAGCAACAGATGGTGCAATCAGCTCCAGGAGACCTAGAACGCCCTCAGGAAGGGATCCTTGGCGCCCTCTGGTGGGCAAGCCTCCAGATCCCAACAATCTCCACTGAAATAAGCAGATCTAGCAGCAGAGACCTATGTTCAGTTAGACAGTTTTTTTTTTCATAAACGCTATTAGGAATACAAAAACAAAAAGAAATGAGGGCATAAATAAGTGTCCATCAACAGAAGAAATACACTATTAGTTCATTTAAACAACTGTTTCTGTTTGAAATGCTGGTTGGTTAAAGTTTTTATACTTAAGGAAGAGCAACCATTTACGTGAGGTTTTTCACCAATCATTTATGCAGTGCAAGCATAGTAAAAAGAAACTGAAAAGGGTCGATACATAACCTGGTTCAAGATGATTGTTTTTATGGGATTAAAGACTAGTTTGAAAAGAGGACAGACCAGGTTTACTTTCAGTGAGAAATACAAACATGGGAGCAGAGTTATTGGAGATACATGTATCTAAATATAAATGGGCTTTATAAAGATTTAGGATAGAAAAATATCGATAACGAAGGAAAATGTAGCTGTAGTTACTGGTGAGATGAGGAAATTGAACTCATTAGCTTTCTAATGTAGTTTTAGAGATTTTCGGTCCTACTAAATAGTGTAGTTTAAATGTGTCCCAACATTTCAGGGGAAAAAAGAGATTTTCAGCATGTGATCTTCACTTTAAATCTGAATATGAAGTGATAATATTAAACTGCAAGTCAAGCTTGCTTTAAAGAACCATATAGATTGGAGAAAATTGCTTTGATGAAGCAGTGCTCGGGGGAATCAGTGAAGTGACCTGGTGCCAGCAGCCTCCTAACTGTCACTGTGTGCCTGTGAAGGCTTCAGTGTGGCAGCAGGCCTGTGATCGCGCCCCGAGCACCACCCCCTGCTGAGAGGCCAGGCCTGGAGTGACTGATCCACTGACTGGCTGCTCTCCCTCCTTCCGTTATCCACTCCTCCTTCCCTTTTTCTTCTGTAGATTTTGCACCTTACCATGCAGCTTCCATCTGAGACACTTTTACCGCAGCCATTTGGTGCTTATTCTGTTCTTCATTAGTTTATTTGTATGGAAGGGAGCATTGTTTTTAGACAAATCATTCATATATTAAACAAATTAACATTACATTAGTGAAATCTCTCGGATATTAGCCATGAATATGCTTCTTTTTCTTCCCTACAGCAACTTGTTCTGCTGCACGTATTAAGAATCATGTGTTAACTCTCATCGACTTCCATTGATTTTCAGTCATTTTCAACCCTTTCAATGCCCTAAACCTAACCATGACCATTGCATACCTCATCCTAACCATAAACCAATTGAAACCTTAGCCCTAACACCAGAAAAATTTCCTAATTTTGTAACAACTGGTCCTCACTCTGAAGGCTAGACAGCTACACACACCCATACACACACACAAAAATGTGTCTTACTATCTTTGTGGAGCCTTTTTATTAACTTCCATTACTTTCTGCAGCCTGACTGTGACCCTAACCCTGACCATTACGGCTTCATACCTAACCTTAACCCCAACCTTAGGTCAATTCTAAACTTAGTCCGTTACATGACCCTGACCCTAAAACAGTTCAGTCATGAGGTCCAGGCATCGGGCCCCATAAGGCATATAGGACCGGATTTATCAAGATCCAATTTTGCGTGCAGTAATTTGCGCTCGCAAACTGGAATTTTGCGCGAGGGGCTGAACCATGGTTTGCTGGTGATTTAACAAGAGTGATTGCGTAACTGGTGGCAGGTGCAAAACTGTTGGAGACGCCCTATTTAAATGATGGTTTTGCGCGTTTTGTGGTTTGCGGCAAAGTAGTTTTTAGTTTGTACAAACTAGTGCATTAAGAAATTTAAATCTTACAGTGACACGCGTACGCATCCCCGCAGCATTGGCATGTTGCTCCGCAGGCGCAGGGGGGAGGTCGGGGTTCTCAGGGCGACACATGGCATTTAGAACGTCGGACAGCACTTCTGAAAAACGAGATTGGGAGATCCCAGCTCTCGCTGCAACTGTACGCTGGAATGACCCAGATGCAAAAAAGTGCAACGTTGCAAGGAGTTTAGTGATATCTGGTATTGCGTGGGTCCTCCTTGTGGCTGGCTCCAAATCCATTCGGAGTTCCCCCAACAGCTCCAAAATGGCAATGCTGGATAAACGATATGTTTTGATGATCGTTTCCTCGTTCATTCCAAAAATATTCACACGGAGTGAAAAAATGCGTTCTCTGCATCTCCTTGCTTCATTTCCATGTCTCCTTCTTGCGACAATAACCGCTGCCATGTGTGCGCAATTACGCATACAGACCATTTGCACCTTCTTTTGAAACGTGTTAAATATAGAGTCAGATACCGTTAGCAAAATTGCTTTCAGGTTTGATAAATCACTTTGCGAGTGCTAAATTAATATATTTACATGTTCTCCTCCCACAAGACGCACTTTTGCGTGTGAACGCCCCATATTGCATATTCATTGCAGAAAAAGTACTAAATGGATAAGAGGCGCTATTTAGCACGTTTTAAAGACCAAATCCTTTTAGCACGCTGTTGATAGATCAGTTTGTACATTTTTTAGCGTGCGCAGTAAAATAGCTCACCTTTTTATACACGCAAACCTTTGATAGATCCGGCCCATAATGTACTAAATACAAGAACGCACACATTTCTGTCCTGTGTTAGGTAGTGAGGACCATGTCTTGACTCCCTTTGACTTCTACTGATATTCAGTCATTAACATTTTATATCCCCCAACCCTGACAATTGTGTTAAACTTAACAATCAGCAGTGCACACCTTGGTCTAAACCTGAACTAAACTAAACCCAACTCAATTCACAAATTAGCCCTAAGTCTAACCCCTTGAAAAATAGCTTCTAAATTATCGTCCTCTTCCTCCCCTGAACCAGGAGAAGCGAGTGCTGCTGGAGCTGGAGGCAGTAGTAGCAGCTCAACAACAACTGCTGGGGTGAAGCCCAGGCAACAGGCCCCTAATGTTCCAGCATCAGATCCTCTTCCACCAGGGTATAAAAACCCATTTGAATGCTAGTATATTATCTAGATCCGTCTGACATCACTGCTGCCAAGCAAACATGAATGATGCACATTCCATAACTAGATATAGTGACTTAATGTCACAATGCTGTTTTTTGTTGTTTTTTTTATCACCGCTGCTTACCTTATCAAGGCTGCACTTAAAAAAATGAAATTGTCTAGAGAGCTATTCTAAACGAAATTTATCTTTGTTTACACTTGTGTATACCAAAAAATAAATCCGTCTATGTCAAAGTTTCCAAGTCTAAGTAAGGACCAGGAAAATATCATCCCTTTAAAACGACAAAATCACTTTGTTGGTAAAATAAGAAACATGCTTCTCCAGATGACCAAAGATGTATTCTTAAATATCTAATTGATTAAATCACCATCACTTTTAAGTTTCTTACATTTTTCCCAATAAAATTCTATGCACCATTGAGGTATTATTATAATAATGTACTTATTCTTGATTGTTTGTATTTTTTCACAGATCACTGCTACACATCTGTTCCCAGTACATCATCTATGCTGGTATCTGATGGGAATGTTCTCACAACAGGTGAGCTAATGAACTGAAAGTTGTCAAAGATTCTACCTCCGGTTCTTATTATTTGCCTTCCATGTTTAATGGTTCTTTCATGTCTTCTGTGATTAGTTCAGTAGTTTCTACATAATTCATTTAACATAAAATACAGTGATAATGATTATCAGGTTTAATAAAACGCCCCCCCTCCCCCAGTTATTTCTGTTTGCCTCTGCTTGTTTTATAATAGAGACCAATTGTCTCTAAGAGCTGAATGAGCTTCTATAGACAGTCACTTTCCTTGTGGTCAATAATTAATAACCGCTTGAAATTAAACTACCAGTTATTGACATTTACTGGTCAAGACACATTGGGTTTTAACAGCCAGTCAGGATGTCCAGCTGCATAGATAAGCGAGTTAAAAACACCTGGTAATTGAGCAAAGGATAAGTTATAATCATTTCAACAACATTCACGTTATTGCTTAACCTTAACTGGAATAATAAATGAATAAACTGTAACCTCCATTACTAATAAAATCCTAATCAAAGCAGTCAAATGAAGCAGCAAACATCCTATTGTGTAACTATCATCTATATAAGAAAGAAAGAAAGACGTTTATGAGAAAAGAAAAATAATTTATCCCAATCTTTTCTATAGGCTTCTCAAGGCTTTGGCAGGGGACTAGCGCTTACCGTCGGCCAAAACAAGCGTAATGTGGCTCTGAATAAATAATGCCGTAACCCGAAAGAGATCAAATCTGTGACATTCTAACAAGCTCCATCTGAAGGAAGCCTTCATGTCCTCAGCCTCAGTGTGTGCGTGCATTCGTGTGTTTTGACACTCCACAACATTGTGACGAAACCCTACCTATACCCACACGACATACATGCCATTTGTAACACGGACACACACACACAAACACCCCCCCCCCCCACACACACACACACACATCTACATCTGCTAGTCCATCCCCCTTTGAGTGAGAGCTGGGAGGGCGACCTCCTGCCCCCATCTGACACCAGCTCATAGCTCCCACTGAAAACCTAAAGCCACCGCCACACACTCAAACCTAGTTTTCATATCTGAATCTTAAAGGAATAGTACACCCAAAACATGATTAGCCTTCATTTTCTACTCACCCCCATGCTGAACAACACTCTGGAGTACTTTTTTGATATCTCAAACGCATCTGGAGATCTGGGAGGCTTCTTGCTGTCTGCTGACATTCAAATAATGGAGGTCTATGGCGCCCGAGACAGAAAGGTCCATAAAAGTCCACAAAAAACGTGTCAATATTCCTCCATACTGCTCGTCCAATGTATTCCAAGTGTCCTGAGTGGGTAGCGTCCAGAATTTACTCGAAACGAAGTCATTTAGAATGTTTTTAGAGCATAAACAGTAGTGTATAGGATTTCCTGAAAGCGCGTTCACGAGTCTACGGAAACCGCGGCAGACCAAACCAGATGAAAGTGCGCATTCAGCTCGGCAAAGAACTCATGCTCTTCCTCAACACTGAAGTCCTCAGACATTTTTCTTTCGTTGTTTCTTTCTTTGCACAGGTAAACAGCACATTTCTTCTTCTACGCTTGCATTATCGGCAGAGCAGACGCTGAATGCGGACTTTCATCTGGTTTGGTCTGCCGGCTTCTGTAGACTCATCTAGCCTCCCAGATCTCCAGATGCATTTGAGATATCAAAAAAGTACTCCAGAGTGTTGTTCAGCATGGGGGTGAGTAGAAAATGAAGGCTAATCATGTTTTGGGTGTACTATTCCTTTAACCCCTAGAACCCGACGGACCCACCGGCGGGTCCAGCTGCTACATGACCTCGTAATTTTAACAAACCCCCAGTATTGATGTAAAAAACACATTTGGCACAGTTTGGTGACATTTATGGATAAATGTGCCAAAATGGCCTCTCCGCCTAAGAAATTTCTCACTAATACCATTCTAAAATAAATATGATTCATCTGATTGAGTCCAAATTTGGTATATTTTTACACAACATTTAGATTTAAAAGTCTGTACTACTTTTTTGTGCTATAAATAATATTTTGGTAGTGTTTTGCAATGTTTATTTCAAAGAAAATTTTGGCGAGGTTCAAAAAATGCAAAATATTTTGTATTTTGTCCCTAATATTTCAGGCAGGGTCAAAGCTACAATGGTGCTGACACCAGAAAACCATTCTATGACATCTTACCTTTACAGAGGTACCAAAAGTTTCTTCTTAAATCTAATAGCTGTGAGGCTATAAGTGATTTACTTTTGTGTGTTTTTGTCAGGCTGAAATTTATTTATACCCCCTGAGGGTGTAAGAGGTTAACATACCACTTTGCTCTTGATGAAAGGGGGAGGGAGCATTGGGTGCAAAAAATTGTGCACCTCACCATCATTCTTTCAGTATCCTCCTTCTCTCTTCTCAAACAGCCAGTTATCTGTCAGATGAGTAAGTTTTCAGATAATTAGAAAAATATAACAACCAAAGTTCATCAGAGACGCAACCTGCCTTTGAGGACGTTTGGGAGCAAACTCTTTAGTGCTATAATTGTGTTTTTAAATCCCCTGTTTCGGTCAGAGGTGAATATAGGAAGGCCAGCTATGATTGGATGCCCTCTGGACTCAGAGCAGGAGGTGGGAAACAAAAGGATCCTCACTAAATGAACATCTCTGTTGGATAATGTCCCCCCCCATGCATGAACCTGGTGCTGAACTGGACAGCTCCTTCAGTGACAGACTGCTGCACCTTAAATGCACCAGGAAGCGTTATCACAGATCCTTCCTCCCAACAGCCTCAATCAGTTCTTCCATTAATGCTGATTCTGCTCAGTTTCTACCTCAGTCAGTTAAATAACCTGCTGCTGTCATTCTGCACATCTCTGATGTTGCTGCTATTTTCAAATATCCATCACTGTAAAAATGTCCATAGCTGCATACAGTGAACCCTCGCTATAACGCGGTTCACTCTTCACGGTCTCGCTGCTTCACGGATTTGCATCATGCATTGTTAAACTTTATTGACAAACATATTAATGGTGGCATGTCGGTTTATAAGGATCTTTTGGCCCAGAAGAAAAAAGAGCGACAACAACTACGGATAACTATGTTCTTCTCTCCAAAAAACACACCTGCACCGCAGGATTTAGAAGGAAAAAAACGCCACAGAGCGGTGAAATACTGTACTGTACACATGAGTCACTATTTGTCCTGCTGTACTTTGTATTTTTTTTCATAATCATTTTTACATTTTCTCCCGTTCCAATCCGTCACGGCGGGGCGGACCTGATCCCCGCAATATTAACCCTTCAAATAATTATTTATTTATTTATAACTATATTATTTTACAGTACAGTAGTTATTTGTAAAAAAAAAATTTTTTTGGAACGTAATCCCCGCGATAAACGAGGGTTCAATGTATTGTTTTTTTATTCTCCAGGTGCACAGTTTTATATTCTTAAAAACCTTTTACAGTGCAGTATTTCCTTGTTTATCTTTTAACTCTTCAATATTATGTTATTCTTATACAGTTTTCTAAGGTCCACATTCGTTTGACAGTTTCTCTACAGTCCTTTTGCTGCTGTAAACACCAGAATTTCCCCATTGTGGGACAATAAAGGGATTTAGCATTGCATTCTATTTTATTCTTTTCTAAATGACATCAAGCAAAGGGTAAACAGTGACAATGTGAGTAAAACCAGTCAGTGTTAGACTGATTTTCCTGTGCAGGAAATGTTTTAGATTATTTACAGGGATGAAAGGAAGCCCAATGCTTCTATTCATATTTTAAAGATTTAATTATAACCAATTTTACATATTTTATAACTTTTATAAAAATGTTCTTTTTTTTTTTTTTACTCTCCCAGATTGTTTATCATTCACCAGTTCTAATTTCCAGTGAAGCTGTGGTTGCTGCATGTGTCTGCCTTGGCATCAGAGTATTGACGATTCTTCCCAATTTTCTATCAAATTGAGGACTAATTTTTGCAAAAGTGGGGACACTGCAGGCTCCTCTCCTGTGGAACCAACTAGTCAGTGAGGCAGACACCCTGTCTACTTTTAAGGCTAGGCTTAAAACTTTCCTTTTAGATAAAGCTTCTAGTTAGAGTGGCTCAGGTTATCCTGATCTATCTCTATAGTTCTGCTGCTATAGGCTTAGACTGCTGGAGGACATAGGGACCCCTTTTTCATCATTCTGCTTCATTCTATCTCTATTCTCCCACTCTGCAGAATCTGTTAGTTCAGTCTGTAACCTTCTGATCTCTTTGCTTTCCTCATAGTAGCTTCATCTGGTCTGTTCCTGTTTGGCTGTGACTCCTGTTTTTAGACTTAGACAACCTTTATTGTCATTTTGTTTTGTACAACTTTCAGACAGTAAATGATATAAGAGTCTAGAAAAAAACATTTTGTGGACGCAGCTAATTTGGTAGACGCAGCATCCATACCTAGTTTGTAGCGTTCTAAGAGGATATTTTGTGGAATTGTCAAGAGCTTTATCAAGCTGGTGTACAGGTGCTATCATGTTGGAAAAAAAAACAAAAAAAACAGAGTAGTCTGTGACTAACTGGATTTGCTGTCCTTCATCCTTAGAGACATTGGAGCTGGCTGTGCGTTTCCTGGATGGGGCCGCCTGTGGAGCCGGTTGACCGTAGCCTTTTGTATCTCTGCTTTTTTTTTTGTATGTGATTCTTTGTCTGCTTCTGTCTCCTTGAACCCCAGTCGGACTCAGCAGATGGCCGCTTAAACTGAGCCTAGTTCTGCTGGAGGTTTCCTCCTGTTCAAAGCAAGTTTTCCACTCCACTGTCGCTACAAGCATGCTTAGTGTGTGAGGGATTGCTGAAGAGTCAATGAGTCGATGCAATAAGCTGGTTTTCCTTTGATAGAACATTTTAAACCAATCTGAGATGGACGACCTGGTTGAACTGTCTCTGTAATGTGCCCTTAGATTATATGTGTTGTGAATTGATGATTTATAAATAAACTGAATTGAATGTAGTTGCGTCTTCTATAAATCTATTGTGTGATCTCGGCTTCCTTCCTCTGCTGAAATAACAGTTTTGTTCTGGGAACTCCTTTAGAACCTCTGTAGATGATTTCGCAGGGAAGAATTCTTCATAAAGTAAAGAAAATGCTAACAATAGTGAGCATCCTCTTCAGGATGTTATGCAGAAAACACTTTGCCCAACAGAGTGTCTTAAGTCAAAGGCTTCTCCAGAATGATGCAAGACAGACCACTACAGTAGATCATTTCTGCCTGGAGCTATCAACACCCACAACAACTTGATAAAAACAAACCAACAATAGGAACAAAAACCCTATGAGTTACTGGAACATTAATTTGCCTTTGGGATTAATGAAGTACTTTAGAATTGAACTGAAAAAAAGATCCTGCAAAATGAAGTAAGTGGATTGGAATGGCGTTGTTCCCTTCAAGTTCTTCTAATGCAAAGCTTTCAAATGCGGTTAAAAACGGTTGGCCAGGACACATCTTCACCTTATCCTTAAACGTGTTAAAAAAAGACCATGAAAAAGCCTTTAAAGACATGCACACGTACTTACAGGGTCTCATAATAGGCAGCTGATTTGTTAGGGCAGAGGCTCTCTTTTGTGTGGCTCCTCAGGAGCTTTGTGTTGTGAAAACCAGGAATGCAAGAGGAAAGGAGGGCCTCACTGCAGGGAGTATGGGGGGATTAAGCCGGGACTAAGCCTGTGTTTGCCCCAGCTGATCATATATATATATATATATATATATATACATACATACATACATACATACACATATATACGTGTGTA